AAACTTTTCCATGCGACATGCAAAGAATATAGTAAATTATTTTAACATACTTTTATGATGTTGTTAGAGTCACAATGAGGGTGTAACAAAAAAAAAAACTGTATCGAAAGGATCGAGGCGAAATGTTATTAACGTTTAGTATGCATAAAAATTATATTTTAAAAATTTATAGGAAGCACCTCACAAATTCTGAAGAAGGTTAATTGTTCACACATAGAGAGATGCCACAGGAAAGAAAATATGTTTCAAAGCATAAAAGTCTAGTGAGATGTGAACTTTTCTATAAACAAAATTTTCTTTTTCTATATTTTGTTGCTGTTGTAAAACAACGTAAAACATAATATTAACATTCTGAAATCACCTTAATTCAATCCTTTGGTGCTTTTGGAGAAAAACATGTTTACCTTAGTTATTCATTTTGATTTGCATAGAAAGTGAGGTAGACCTTATACCTCAAAATTTCTATTTAAAATTTATTACGAAATGACAGAAAGGAGAACTTAGATATACATCAGTGAGACCAGCAATTCAACAACGCAGAAAAAATTAAAAATAATCGTTTTAACTAGTATAAATAGCAAAAATTAAATCTTAAAGTTTAACATGCATTAGCATGATTAGCTTTAAACAAGTATATGCTTTGAACAACAGACTATAGCTTCTCATTGATTCTGAGTGATTAAACAAAGTACAACTTTTTCGCCATGTAATTTTTTAGTATATATAATAATGAAAGAATTGTTTAGAAATGGTAAATGGTTTTGATGTTCAATTCTAACATCATACGTAGATGAATTGCATTAAGCATAAAAGAACATAGAACTGTGCTTCGTAAATAATGTAATAGTAAATAATGGTTACACATAGATCTTGAATTCCATTTGTAGTCGAAATCTACCACATCATGTATGTGAACAATACAGTTCATGTAAAATACAAAAAGATCTGTGACATCTTTATTTTACAATATCTGCCAAATTAAATTGACAAGGTGTTTTCTTTCAGTCTATCCTTTATTAATATGGAATCAACCAAGTTAGCCCAGGCAACCACATAATCCTGAAAATTTCGTGGCAAGTGGCACATTTCTTGCATCGCCGGGCCATACAGCCTTGATAATTCTGAAGTTGGCACTACAGAAATATTGAACGTTACTTGAATGAAAAATTCTTTTGGTTGAAATACTGGTATTCGATATTATTGGTCGCTTTTTTGGTATATGCATGATATCAATTACAATCACCACTATTGGGAAATGAGCTACATTGTAAATGTCTTATAAATATTGTTTTTTGTTGAATTTTTGACTAAGGGATATTATCATGCTCATCTTCCTTTCACATGAAGAAAAATATGTCATGATTGTAAATTGAAGTAATGTTTTCGTATTGCCTTAACCCATTTTGGTTAATGGGGTGAAGTTATAGAGTTTTGATGGATATTTCGTGTTCTCTTATTTTCTTCGGATCAACCAATGAAACAAACCTTAAGTAAAACACTATTTCAACATTATAATTTTTAAGCAATTACTTTCGAAACGGATTTAATTTCTCAAATATTGATATTTACGTGTCATATGGAAAAATCTTTAAGTGCTCCAAGTTAAGCATCAAATATATTTTTGTTAATTATAAAAAAGAAGATGTGGTATGATTGCCAATAAGACAACTCTTCACAAGTGACCAAATGACACAGAAATTAGCAACTATAGGTCACCGCACGACCTTCAACAATGAGCAAAACCCATATCGCATACTCAGCTATTAAAGGCCCCGAAATGACAAATGTAAAACAATTCAAACGAGAAAACTAACGGCCTAATTAATGTACAAAAAAAACCCCGAAAAACAAATATGTAAAACAGCAATGAACGATAACCACTGAATTACAGGCTCCTGACTTGGGACAGGCACATACATACAGAATATTGCGGGGTTAAACATGTTAGCGGGATCCCCCCCCCCCTAACCTGGGACAGTGGTGTAACAGTATAAAATAAGAACGAACTATAAAAATCAGTTGAACAAGGCTTAACTCATCAGATGGATACACATAGAAATACATCTAACAAAAACACAGAGTGGACGTGGCCGGGTACTTGAACATCCCAACAACAAAAAGACAATAAGTACAGATCTGAGAGTACTCGCAGTTACTGACAGCTAGTTCAAAGCCAATAACAACTAATAAAAAAAATCATGCATCTAAGACTAAATTATCAATCAGTACACATCCAGCATCCAATGGATTTACTGTAAAGACGTCATAAACAGTCAGAGAACAACATGACCTTATGCAATGCAAAGATACAGGTATCGACAGATTGTAGATCCATGAAAGTGCATATGTATATAACAATAATATTTAGTTTGCTTTTAATTTACTGATAACAAAATCGATATTAATACTAATAAAACCAATCTAAGATCTAATTACAGTGTTGAATTGGTAACCTTTTAGTTTATTTAAAGGATCGATAAGTTTACCAGGATCGTTTCTAAATTTCCGGGCACGGTTAACAACATCTCCGTAAAAATGAGGATGTTTAAAATAAGTTTTCTACAGGTACAACCAAACTTCAAAACCAAATCTTTTTATCTATGGAAGGATTTAGTTAAGGTTTTTAGTCATTTGTGGTAACGAAATCCCTGATTTCATAATTTACCAGTAATACATAGATTACGTTCATTAAAATCTAAAACGTCACAACAGACACGGGCATAGCGAACGAGTTGTGAACTATAATCACCGTAAGATGGTGCCAAAGGAACTAATTGCATTTCTTCGTCTTTTCAATAGTGCTATATGTTACTTGTATCATAATATAAAGAGCGGATATTTCCAAAGCAGATACACAACACTCTTTATAACAGTATAAATCTAGAACATCCGAAATTATATGTTTGAAAGTATATTCTTCTGTCAAATAGCTGAATTAAAGTTTCTTGTTAAGGCATGTTTTAAGTATCGAAAAAAGTTCTAGGAGCTTATTTAATAAGAAATCTTCGACCAAAGAATGATTTGAGCACATATAGAACAAAACAGTTTTGAGCCAGTATGATGGAACTAAGGACGCAATGCTGAAAGTATTATTGTGGTGCGTTTTCGTTAATTTTGACATTACCAACACTTTAGCTGCACGCAAAAATCATAATATGTTATTGCTAGCCGGGAATTGCCAGCAAGATAAAACTTAAGGATTGAATGGTTACTGCTGGTTTAGACAGTCTTCTTTTGTTTTCTCTACGTCAAATTAATTTTATTGTTTCGTCTCTCGTTTCAGCTTTCTATTCAACTACTTTGTTACAAATGTCAATCGTGATCCCTGGTTTTTGTAACTGTGTACCTTTCCAAACCATGAGATGAGTAAGTTCGTGAACTGAATCCTCATTTGGTGGTGCATTAATCCATAGTATGCTTGTAATCTAGTGCAAATAAATTTAAGAATGGTTTTCACAGCTGTTACAAATGCACAACTGTTTCTAAATACGAGAATGCTCAGTGCCTGTTTTAACAAAATTGGTTGTGTATTTTCGGTTTCAATTAAAAATCCATAAAAGTTTCAATGAACTCCTGAAAATAAATCAGTATACGTTCTTGATGGCACATTATTATATTGTAGCACCTGAGTATTACCTTTTTTTTGAAAATATTTCAGTTCACACTCTTATCTTACACTTTGCATTCTACGAAGCGTATCAATAATTTATTTTGACCTAACGTATTTTCAACGTAATAAGACATTTATTGATAAACCAACATAGAACCAACAACCAATTATAACTCAAAATGTTGGCTAAAATAAAATACCAACCATCATCTGTAAACGCCTAATATTGCCCAACGTAGATCCAATGTTGGAAAACCAACGCACTGTTACACGATTCAAACATATTATGCGAAATCTGGCCCAACGTTGAGTTAACGGTTAGTTTGGCAACCCCATCAATGAATCAATTAAATACAAGTCAAATTAAGAATCAACAGAACTTAACCAATAACTGATGTTTTCAAATAAAACAAATACTAACAAGGTTCTTATTATAATCTAGAATGAAACAACGTATTACCAACGTTATTTATAGAGACAAAGATAAACTAACAAAATAGTTACAGCCAACTGCCAATTATCAACCGACATAAAACAAGCATTCAATGATTGCCCAACATAATGGCAACAAGTTATCTGTTAACACCCAACGTTAGCCCATTGTAAGCCCTTATGTTGGAAAACCAATACACTGTTGCACCTATTCAAACAAATATGACATAGTTGGCCTTACCTTGGGGTAACGTTGGTATTTCAACGTTCAACCAACAGTACACATTTTTGCTATATACTGGCCTCAACATTGGCCAAGGTAGGTATGCTATCGGCTATATTCAATCAACAGTTAACCTTCACCTAAGGTTTGCAATTGACATCTAACTTCTTTGCTGATGTTTTAAATTATATGAAAGGTTGTGCGAGATCGACTTCGCATTGTCATTAACTCTGCTTTTGTTCAAACCCACAAAACATAAACTTGTTATTTTGGATATACCTAATTAAAGGTCATGTTCAGTGTATCTTAACTTTAAGTGTTGGCCAGTTTTTAGAAATATGACCGCCTGGACTTTACAATAGGACAATAGACATTATGCTGGTATAAATGTTTGTTAAATACGTGGGCTCGACTCAGAGGAATTAGGTTGTAAATATGATGCATCGAGTAGGTAGAATACTAGGCATCTTGCATGATAAATGTCCTTCCAACAAATATTTTATGGGTTCTGAGATGGCAAAAAAAAACCCGATTTAATATTCCCTCTTTTTTTCTCTCTATTGGGAGTCTGAATTTCCCGTCTTTTGTCACATTTGATAGACCATTCTATTTGGAATCATATTTAATTAGTTTGTGTCCTGAATTTAACATTCTCATTAATCGATAAATCAGTGTATTATTACAAAGGAAGTAAAGACGTATAAATTATTAGATAATGAAAACGAAAGTAGATAATCATGTAGACGTGGAGTTCAGAACTAATGCCATGTTATTTAATAGTTGTTAAACATGGTTAGAAAGCAGTGTATGTCATTAATTTTGCTCGAAACATAAATCAGTACGAGGTGAGTTTTCTAAAAAAAAACAAAATCAATGTTAAACGGTTTTTGTGTTATCAGCTTTTATGTTTACTTGAAAAAAATCTTTTACATGTTATGTTCCTGCAATTTTCTCAAACATACGGAAATGTTCATTTTTGTGAATGCTTAGGTATTTCAACTTTTATTAAATGAATTCTTGAAGGAAATTAAGTTCTCACAACAAAAATTTGAATTACAGATATTTATTTACTAGTTTTTAAATGTTTGTGTAAGGCTATTATAATTTAAATCAATACTCGCTAGAGCATAAGAGGTGTTGTATTTATAGAATACATGTGACCTACGTTTTCGTTGTCAGCAATAAAGATATGATTTCCGTGAAATTGATAGTTTGTGTTGTGCATACACAGAAGGGGTTCTTTAGAAACGATCGAATGTTCTCATGCAAATATAGTTCTTGTTGCAATGGGTACTGGTGGTAGATTGCTAGTCCCCAAAACATTTCGTTTGTGTGATATTTAAAAATGTGAGTATATCATGTATACTTTAAATACTAGATTTAAAAGGATTAATATATACATAAATATTACTCAATCATATAATGTTGCTTCCTTTGCATTAGCAGCACATCACGCTGCTGTCAGCAATTGGGAAATATTTATGTCCTGAAAAAAGAGGCAGAAAAATACTAAGGGGACATTCAAAACTCAAAAGTCAGGGCAAAAAACGCATGACATGAAAAAGACAAACAAGTCTACAAATCACTATATAAAAAACGAACAATTGAGTTACACGAACCCCCACCAAAACTGAGGGAGATCTCAGATGCTCCGAAAGGATAAACAGATCCTGTTCTACCCGTATCACCAGTCATGTTGCTCATGGTAAGCAGGTATGTAATAAAATGCCACAATTCAAATTGTGAAGAATATAACTAGGAACCTTGTTAACGTTAATAACAGGGCCGGTTTCAGGGAGATAGATTTTTGTTTCCACTTGTGACTTCAAACATCTGTGTTATTGTACTTTTTAAATAAAAATAAGAGGATGTTTTATGATTGACAATGAGACAACTATCCACCAAAGTTCAAATGTAGTGGATGTAAGCAATTATAGGCAACCGTACGGCCTTCAACAATGAGAAAAACCCGGCTTTGTGCAGGAAAATTGAGTATGTTGTCTGACATTTATTTGATTGTTTTTTTTTCTGTTTTTGAACTCTGTGTTGTAAAGCAAAAGGTGCAACAAACGTAAGACAAAATTAACATAACTTATTGAAAAGGCAACCATAACGAAACTGACTAAAAAATGTTGATGCAAATGAACTCATCATAAATAACAGGCTGAAAATTTTGTACGCCAGAAGCGCGTTTCGTCTACAAAAGTCTCATCAGTGACGCCCGATTAAAAAAAAATAAAAAGGTCAAATAAAGATCGAAGTTGAAGAAAATTGAGGAGTTTTAGCGGTCACCATAGTAGTTAAGTTCGCATACAAAAAATAAATGGAAATCGCAATAGGAAAGTTTGCTTATTTTTCCTAAATTAGGGTTCAAATTACCAAGAGAAAGTTACATTCAACCTATATTTTTGCAATCAATTTCGGTTGTTAAAAGAGAGGCAAAAGATAACAAAGGGACATTCAAACTCATAAGTCGAAAATAAACTGACAACGCCATGGTCTCGCTGATCTGTAAATCTACGGTTGTTCGTCCTCGTTCAATGTAATCTGAACAGGTTCATATATAGCGTATTGACGTCGTAAAAAGTCCATTATTAATGAATATCTTCCATAAAAAAGACGTTTGTTAAGCAAAATAAAACAAACACTCAACAGACGTTTCAGTGTGAATCTAATATATCTAATATATTGTATTCAGTAAACAATTCGCATATTAAGACCGCACATATTTTACAGAAAAGGTGAAAAGGTAAAAAGTGTAAAATGATAAACATTTTTAACGTTTAAGGTCACAATAGACAAAAAGGCACTTATAGAACAACCAAAACGTTTGCAGTGGGAGACGAAATGACAATTTGAAAACATTTGTTAAGGGACATATTTTCTAAAGAAAATACATAAAAGGCAACGCTAGTTCACCGATGATCAAATCGCACAAATTCATTAAGAACAATCAAATTAAGTATAAAAATAAAACAAATCGCAATCCCATGAACAAAAGGAGCGAGACCAGGTGTATCGGCAAGGTGAACATCCCCTACTTAGCATGCATCAACCACCATGCAAAGCATCAGGTATAAGATGTCACAATTGGGAATAGGAAACATCCGTAAATTTACAGATAGGACGACTATTTTTAAGATCTAAGACCGTGCATGCCAGCATTGAATCGGTCAATCAAATGTGTGACGTTGACCGTAAAACTGACAAATTGTCCATTTCAGTCGGTCTTCCTCATGATCATAACTCTGTTCGAGCAGTTTTTATTTCAGAAGCACACCCTGCTAAGAAGTCCGTAAAATGATAACATGCACGAATGTAACGTATCAATTCAGAATCTAATATATCTAATATATGTATTCAGTAAACAATTCGCATATTAAGACCGCACATATTTTACAGAAAAGGTGAAAAGGTAAAAAGTGTAAAATGATAAACATTTTTAACGTTTAAGATCACAATAGACAAAAAGGCACTTATAGAACAACCCAAACGTTTGAAGTGGGAGACGAAATGACAATTTGAAAACATTTGTTAAGGGACATATTTTCTAAAGAAAATACATAAAAGGCAACGCTAGTTCACCGATGATCAAATCGCATAAATTCATTAAGAACAATCAAATTAAGTAAAAAAATTTAAAAAATCGCAATCCCATAAACAAAAGGCGCGAGACCAGGTGCATCGGCAAGGTGAACCTTCCCGACTTAGCATGCATCAACCACCATGCAAAGAATCAGGTATAAAATGTCGCAATTGGGAATAGGAAACATCCGTAAATTTACAGATAGGACGACTATTTTTAAGATCTAAGACCGTGTATGCCAGCATTGAATCGGTCAATCAAATCAGTTTTATTATTTCAGAAGCACACCCTGCTAAGAAGTCCGTAAAATGATAACATGCACGAATGTAACGTATCAATTCAGATATGTTAATGCCGTACGATGGGACAAAAATTATTTTCTCAGGCAAAGTTGACCTTAGATGAATTTTGCTATTTTTAGGTCACTTTTGGTCATATGGCTCTTCGTGTGTTTATATCGTATACATTCTTGGCTCTCACATTTTTAGATTTGAGCGTTCCAGATGAAGATATTTCCGTAAAAGCACTTTGGACGCACGAAATAAATAAAGTAACTTAGAAATGGGTATTTGACAAGGGGGACGCTGAAATCAAAGTTTTTCATCAATTCTCGTTCGAACATGTTGAAGTCGTCCATCTGTATATAGGTATACTTATCAGGTACGTTCGAAACATTAGCGTAGGTTCACATTTACATATATTTTTTTAAAGCAATTTAAAAACAAAAGTCCAAAAAAATTGTTGACATCTTTTATGGTTAACTTAGCCTGATATGGTTTTACTCCCATCTTTGATACAATTAAACGTTTTTTTCGTTGGTTGATAAAGTTTAAATTTTACTTTGTCATGTTTTATAGATCTTTATAGATTACAAATTTTGTTAAAAAGGTTTTTATAGCCTGATTCTAATGTGTACGTATGTGTTTTTATTACCACAGCCGTTTACACTGCATATGTAAAACAAGGCAAATGCTGCTGTTTTTCTTTTATACTATAGGTCAACTTTAATTCCCTCCTTCCATCGACAAAAAATAATTGTAAACTGCCATATTGTCAATATGTTACTTTTTAGTGCCAATAAACTACGTTTATACAGTCAAGAAGAGAAAACAATGTTCCAAAAAATTGGGGTATGGAGAAAAGTTACGGTTTCATTATACTGCTAATATAAGATAGTCATTGTTGATTTTGGTCTGATATCGTGTTTTTTTTTTCTTACAGAATGACAGCATCTAAGCATTTGGGTTCCACGGAAGAGAAAAATTATTTGAAGCTTTCTCTCTTTTTGGTGGAGATATCACGTTCGGCTATTAAATATATCTTCGACCAAGAATTTTGTCCAGACACATTACAGACAGAAATCACCAAGAACTACTCTAAACTTAAATATCTGAAACAAACGAAAACGATAAGCGCAACACAATGGGACACACTTTTTCTACCAAGTATGTTATGATTTTTAATATGATTTGCATTCAATTAATAAGATGAAACCTCTTTACCGGAAATTTAAAATGGACCAAAACGATTCGAACCAATAACCGGGGGGAAACTGAGGTGCTCCAGAAAGATAAGCAGATCGGTCTCCACTAGTTTTATCTGTTGCGTTACTGTTGTTAAAATCTGTTAACAGGTTGATTACTCCTAATTGGTGGAAAGGCAATGTTAATGACATTTTGGAATATTGATCGATTGTTTAACAGGTTAAACAAAAGTACTAATTAAAACAACTAAATAATGTAAATATTTTGAGGTATTATTGACTAAATCTATTTTCAATCACTGGGTCGATACAGCAGACTGGTCTATCATCATGACATGTCAGATTCATCAATTTTGCGAATATCATTTGCCTACGCAGAGTTTTGTTCCATATCAAATACCTAAGTTCACGTAAATCACAATACAATAAGCTACTAGATAAGTGTACAATAAAGATTGCCCGGTTCTAGGTAAAAGAGTAAGAATTTTATATTAGACTTTTAGTCTTATATTCTTTTTTTTCAGAGGGATTAACTCTTCAGTCTTCTAACTTTGATATTACATTAATGACATGTCTACTACGAAATCTGGCAGCCATCGATGTTGTTGACCGCCAAGTTCCTCAGGTCGACTTCAGCATAGGAACTGCGATATCTACAATAAAATTTTACAGAAATAAGATAGCACACATTCTTGATTGCTCTGTATCAGATATTGTATTCAACGAAATGTTTGACGCTGTGACAAAGGTATCTTTCCAGTAGAACTATATTTACCTTTAAAAGTTCTCCTTCGTGATGTATTGAAAAATAAATTGGCTTTATTTGCGGACAGATTGACTCTTGGGAGGGAAGACCTTCATTAACAAAAATATAGGGCCTCTCCACAGATCCAGAGAAATCAAAGATGAACTACAAAATGCATTAATTTTAAAATTCTTATAATTATGCAATTAAAACAAATTGAATTTCGTGTAACTGTTTTTTTCTTGTCCACAGCCATATGCACGTTCCGTCTACTTTAGACTTATTAATGACTACAGAACCATTACAATTGGAGTCGTGTGCTTTCAGACAAAAACATAGCTTCCCTTGCATACATTGTTATAAAATAACTTTCACTAGAATTGCATCGAAACAACAAGCATAATTTTCAGTGACAATTTCGTTAAGCTGCTGAATAAACACAGGTAAAATACTTTACAATTTAACATTTTTAAATACGATCGTCTTTTCATATATTGATACATTATGTCTACTTGAAACAATTTTTTCCATTCAGTAAAAAAAAGAGGTTAAGATTTAAAAGAATGGAAGTCTGTCACTGAAAATTCGTTCTCTCTAATTCATATTTCAGGCAATTGTCAAACTAAATCCAGCACTAAGTGGAGAATGTGAGTCAATAAGGCATGGATCATTTTATAAACGTAAGTTTAAACAATATCACCATTTATCGATACCACTGCTGGTGAACAGTTAGTTCCCGATGGTATTATCTGCGAAGGTACTGACATGTTTTTTGGACAAATATAAAAAAAACTCCCCTTTCATGCATTAAGAAATAATCAAGAAATTAAGGTTCCAACTCCCTCATACAAAGTTGACCTTAGCTGAGTTAGGCTATTCCTTAAAGGCTTTTGATCATATAGCTCCTTACATATCATGTATTTATACGTATTTTTACATCCCATGCTTGAAATGTTTGAATTTCAGCGTTCCTGATGAATGAGGGTTTAACATGTTTGTGAGCACTCAACCCTACCAAAACCTGTGACAATGGTTTACATTTCTAACAACAAATATTAAAAACAAACTGAATATAACAGTTGAAAAGAGCTCGACTTCTCAAATCGGTACTAAGCAAAAAATGAAATAAAAATAAAATTATAAAAACATTCATAGCAACTGAAAGTTCAAAGTCATATTTCAACTAATAAATATAAATCTTCTTCACTTTGACAAGAATATCAATAAGAACACTTCCGCAGTTAGGAGTTGATGAAAAAAAAAGCTTGACCAATAAAATATAGTTATTGACATGATGTACAATCCATATTGGAACATGTATTAAAGTATTAAAAGTTAATTCAATGCTAGTAATGACAATTAAAAGATGTTACTTCAATGTTAAATTGATAATAACATTAACGGGAACAATTTTACAGCGCAAGATGCTTTTTTCGACAATTAATGACCCTTCAGTGATGATCGAGGCCTAATTATTTCAAAATCCAAAAAAATTAAAATGGATTACTGCTCTCATATTGTTATGGGAGTATCATTTGTAAACGAATTAGGTATAAATATTTTCTTTATTTTCATCTCATCTGGCCGAAGATCAGTATTATGTTTTGTTATTATTTGGCGTCCGTTGTTCGTCTGTAGTCAGGTTACTTAAAAAAAATATCCAGTGAAACCATTGAACCCATTGAAATTATTCATTTCATGATTGATCTGTTATGTGGTCATCATGTCTAAAATTAAACATTAGTTTTAAATCTAAGTAAATGTTTAATTTCTTGAAAACCATAATACGTTCTAAAATTCAAACGGGACAAAAAATTTCAGAATGTCTAGATCTATATATACTCTATGTTCTTCAAATTTTTTTAGACGATTCTTTAGACTTCTCTGACTTATAGATGATAATCAATAAATCAGAGAGCTCAACTAGAAAAATAACACGCTTAAAAAATCAAATGAATAAAAAAAGAATAAAAAGTATAAGACTTTTACATATTAGATCAAGATAGTAGTTAAACAAATAAACAGTTTTTAAAATAGTTCCTTGGCCATGCAAGTTCAAAAATACAAATCATGTACAAAATTTTGGGTTCACCATTTAACAATGGTATCAAGCGCACTTTCCCATTCTAGCGAATAATGAAAACAAAAATATTTACTTCAAATCTTGAGCGCATATAAGTTATTCACTAAAGAGGTAAAATTTCATAAGAAATACAATGAAGGTAGTACTATCTCGTTAATATCTTTTTTCTTAATTCTACAGACTTGGGAAACTTAACAGCACTGCATGATATGTGTCATGATGGAAATTTTGAATTGGCAAAACTGTTGATTCAACAAGGATTACCAGTAAATGAGGAAATCTATTTGGGTTTAACACCACTTCATTTATCATCGCACGAAGGTCACACAAACATTGTTGAACTTTTACTCAATCATGGTGCAAAGGCTGTAGTAAACAATGGAAATATATCTGGCTCCACGCCATTACATTTTGCTTCTCATGAGGGCCATAAAGATACTGTTGACATTTTGCTTCAGCATGGAGCAGATCTACATCAAGGAAATAACAATCATTCCAGACCAATACATTTAGCAACTCATGAAAATCATATCGATACTGTGAAATTCTTCATTGAAAAAGACGCAAACGTCAACGACATCAATAAGAACGGTTCCACGCCACTGCATTTGGCAAGTTATAATAATCTTAAAGAAATGGCAGAGTTCCTGATTAAAAATGGCGCCGACGTAAACAGAGCAAAATTAGACAAACGTACGCCATTACATGTTGCTTGTAGAGCTGGTAACCCTGAAATTGTAAGTCTATTGGTTAAAAATAAAGCATTGGTAGATCAAACAGATAATGATGGCCGAACACCTTTGTCTTATGCCAAAGACAATGGAAACAGAGAAATAATCTCAATTTTACAGACAATAGATCATTCTTCGGAAAATGATAAAAATGCGTTTTATATGTTTATGCTTTTCTCTAGTGTGATCATTATTTGCGGTGTGTTGAAGCGCTATGTTTAAAAGAAAACCGCTATTTGTAATAGAAAAAAATCGAAGGCCGTACGGTGACCTATAGTTGTTAATTTCTGTGTGATTTGGTCTCTTGTGGAGAGTTGTCTCATTGGCATTAGGGTTCAAATTACCAAGAGAAAGTTACATTCAACCTATATTTTTGCAATCAATTTCGGTTGTTAAAAGAGAGGCAAAAGATACCAAAGGGACATTCAAACTCATAAGTCGAAAATAAACTGACAACGCCATGGTCTCGCTGATCTGTAAATCTACGGTTGTTCGTCCTCGTTCAATGTAATCTGAACAGGTTCATATATAGCGTATTGACGTCGTAAAAGTCCATTATTAATGAATATCTTCCATAAAAAAGACGTTTGTTAAGCAAAATAAAACAAACACTCAACAGACGTTTCAGTGTGAATCTAATATATCTAATATATTGTATTCAGTAAACAATTCGCATATTAGAGGTTTCTCAACATCTTACGAACGAAACAAAATTGACCTAACTTGACGTAACTTGCCGTAACGAAAAAAGAGGGAGCAGTAATTTATTCAATAATTTTGGACTATCGGTTGTGATCTTCTTCCCCTTGAAATTTCTTTTACATAAAAAATATATACATTTTGGAATTTGTAAGACCATTTTGAGTCGTAATGATATACAATTTACGGTTTAATCAAAACAGTTGAAAATCTAATTGATCAATAAATTATGGCGCAAACATGAGCTAAAACTAATCTACGCGTGAACGCCTCTAGTTTTTATAATTTGAAAAAAAAACATCCTCGGATCCGGGGTAACTTCGTTGCCCCAACTCTAAAATCCAAATGATCACTTCTTGACCTTAAATGATTATAACTGATTTATATTCTAGCTAAACTGATAAAGTCAAGAAGATAACTAAAGGGAAACATTGAAGTAAATATTTGAAAAAAAGCCAAAAAAAAAAGATAACACTTTAAAAAGATGTTCTGTAATGTATTTAGGTTTTTTGGTTTGTTTTGTTTTCATTGCAGCTCTTATTTTCTTTGTTAGTATATATATATAATTATTTTGTGGGGTTTTTTTTTTGCTTTCGTGGAGTTTATATGGAATGCTGTATATGTTTTTCTTCGGTTTTTATTATAGAATTTACAGAAAATGTACCTTTTAAAAACTATGTAACTATCAGTTTTGTTAGTGTTGTAGCACTCATACTTTCAACAAGAATACACAAAACTTTATAACTTTACGATTGATCGAGTGCACCTTTATATTTCTGTAACTTATTCCCTAAAAATGATTTAAAAGCAAGTCGGACCAATTGGACCTAGTGCACATTGAGACTTTCCTGTTGAGTGCTTTATTCTAGGAGACAGAATTTACCCAAACTCACTCTCCTTTATTCGTTCCATATTTATAAAGAATGTGTGAGTACAGTGGCGGATCCAGAACTTTTCATAAGGGGGGCCCGCTGACTGACCTACGAGGGGGCCCCCTCCAGTCATGCTACAGTGATTCCCTATATAATCAACAAATTTTTCCCACAAAAGGTGGGCCCCCTACCCCTGGATCCGCCTATGCCAGGATATAATAAATGAAAAATACTAAACTCGTGTCATATCATGATCAATCACTTTTCAATCCTTTAACAAACCGCTAATCTCGTCGTGACAAGCAAGGAATACTTGCAACAGAACGCTAAACACCCAACCATCAATCAAATGAAATGCAAACAAGACGCGGGGATTTTTTTAACTGCATTACAAACTGACAATGTTCTGTTTAAATGGACAAGGGAGATAAATCGAACGCATATATTCGACATGTAAACAAACGAAACCCAACGTAAGAATACGTAACATTCAACAAAAGAAAATAAATTGGAACACCGATGTTTAACCACAAAAATAAAATGCAAGGTGGCAAAAAGACTATGCAACTGTTAACTGTTTTCTTTAAACACACTGCACTATCGGTAGACATTTATCGTGGATTTTATTATAACAAAATTACTGCTCCTTAACGATACGTTCGTAGAGTTTCGTCCGTTCGTAAGATGTTGAGAAACCTCTATTAAGACCGCACATATTTTACAGAAAAGGTGAAAAGGTAAAAAGTGTAAAATGATAAACATTTTTAACGTTTAAGGTCACAATAGACAAAAAGGCACTTATAGAACAACCAAAACGTTTGCAGTGGGAGACGAAATGACAATTTGAAAACATTTGTTAAGGGACATATTTTCTAAAGAAAATACATAAAAGGCAACGCTAGTTCACCGATGATCAAATCGCACAAATTCATTAAGAACAATCAAATTAAGTATAAAAATAAAACAAATCGCAATCCCATGAACAAAAGGAGCGAGACCAGGTGTATCGGCAAGGTGAACATCCCCTACTTAGCATGCATCAACCACCATGCAAAGCATCAGGTATAAGATGTCACAATTGGGAATAGGAAACATCCGTAAATTTACAGATAGGACGACTATTTTTAAGATCTAAGACCGTGCATGCCAGCATTGAATCGGTCAATCAAATGTGTGACGTTGACCGTAAAACTGACAAATTGTCCATTTCAGTCGGTCTTCCTCATGATCATAACTCTGTTCGAGCAGTTTTTATTTCAGAAGCACACCCTGCTAAGAAGTCCGTAAAATGATAACATGCACGAATGTAACGTATCAATTCAGAATCTAATATATCTAATATATGTATTCAGTAAACAATTCGCATATTAAGACCGCACATATTTTACAGAAAAGGTGAAAAGGTAAAAAGTGTAAAATGATAAACATTTTTAACGTTTAAGATCACAATAGACAAAAAGGCACTTATAGAACAACCCAAACGTTTGAAGTGGGAGACGAAATGACAATTTGAAAACATTTGTTAAGGGACATATTTTCTAAAGAAAATACATAAAAGGCAACGCTAGTTCACCGATGATCAAATCGCATAAATTCATTAAGAACAATCAAATTAAGTAAAAAAATTTAAAAAATCGCAATCCCATGAACAAAAGGCGCGAGACCAGGTGCATCGGCAAGGTGAACCTTCCCGACTTAGCATGCATCAACCACCATGCAAAGAATCAGGTATAAAATGTCGCAATTGGGAATAGGAAACATCCGTAAATTTACAGATAGGACGACTATTTTTAAGATCTAAGACCGTGTATGCCAGCATTGAATCGGTCAATCAAATCAGTTTTATTATTTCAGAAGCACACCCTGCTAAGAAGTCCGTAAAATGATAACATGCACGAATGTAACGTATCAATTCAGATATGTTAATGCCGTACGATGGGACAAAAATTATTTTCTCAGGCAAAGTTGACCTTAGATGAATTTTGCTATTTTTAGGTCACTTTTGGTCATATGGCTCTTCGTGTGTTTATATCGTATACATTCTTGGCTCTCACATTTTTAGATTTGAGCGTTCCAGATGAAGATATTTCCGTAAAAGCACTTTGGACGCACGAAATAAATAAAGTAACTTAGAAATGGGTATTTGACAAGGGGGACGCTGAAATCAAAGTTTTTCATCAATTCTCGTTCGAACATGTTGAAGTCGTCCATCTGTATATAGGTATACTTATCAGGTACGTTCGAAACATTAGCGTAGGTTCACATTTACATATATTTTTTTAAAGCAATTTAAAAACAAAAGTCCAAAAAAATTGTTGACATCTTTTATGGTTAACTTAGCCTGATATGGTTTTACTCCCATCTTTGATACAATTAAACGTTTTTTTCGTTGGTTGATAAAGTTTAAATTTTACTTTGTCATGTTTTATAGACCTTTATAGATTACAAATTTTGTTAAAAAGGTTTTTATAGCCTGATTCTAATGTGTACGTATGTGTTTTTATTACCACAGCCGTTTACACTGCATATGTAAAACAAGGCAAATGCTGCTGTTTTTCTTTTATACTATAGGTCAACTTTAATTCCCTCCTTCCATCGACAAAAAATAATTGTAAACTGCCATATTGTCAATATGTTACTTTTTAGTGCCAATAAACTACGTTTATACAGTCAAGAAGAGAAAACAATGTTCCAAAAAATTGGGGTATGGAGAAAAGTTACGGTTTCATTATACTGCTAATATAAGATAGTCATTGTTGATTTTGGTCTGATATCGTGTTTTTTTTTTCTTACAGAATGACAGCATCTAAGCATTTGGGTTCCACGGAAGAGAAAAATTATTTGAAGCTTTCTCTCCTTTTGGTGGAGATATCACGTTCGGCTATTAAATATATCTTCGACCAAGAATTTTGTCCAGACACATTACAGACAGAAATCACCAAGAACTACTCTAAACTTAAATATCTGAAACAAACGAAAACGATAAGCGCAACACAATGGGACACACTTTTTCTACCAAGTATGTTATGATTTTTAATATGATTTGCATTCAATTAATAAGATGAAACCTCTTTACCGGAAATTTAAAATGGACCAAAACGATTCGAACCAATAACCGGGGGGAAACTGAGGTGCTCCAGAAAGATAAGCAGATCGGTCTCCACTAGTTTTATCTGTTGCGTTACTGTTGTTAAAATCTGTTAACAGGTTGATTACTCCTAATTGGTGGAAAGGCAATGTTAATGACATTTTGGAATATTGATCGATTGTTTAACAGGTTAAACAAAAGTACTAATTAAAGCAACTAAATAATGTAAATATTTTGAGGTATTATTGACTAAATCTATTTTCAATCACTGGGTCGATACAGCAGACTGGTCTATCATCACAACAAATATTAAAAACAAACTGAATATAACAGTTGAAAAGAGCTCGACTTCTCAAATCGGTACTAAGCAAAAAATGAAATAAATATAAAATTATAAAAACATTCATAGCAACTGAAAGTTCAAAGTCATATTTCAACTAATAAATATAAATCTTCTTCACTTTGACAAGAATATCAATAAGAACACTTCCGCAGTTAGGAGTTGATGAAAAAAAAAGCTTGACCAATAAAATATAGTTATTGACATGATGTACAATCCATATTGGAACATGTATTAAAGTATTAAAAGTTAATTCAATGCTAGTAATGACAATTAAAAGATGTTACTTCAATGTTAAATTGATAATAACATTAA